TACCGATTCGTCATAATCTTCTAATTCATCTCCACTTTTCAATTTATATACCAATTCATCTTCACGCCCTGAACTATTCTCCAATTTGAACCCACTTCCAAATTTATCTACTTCTAAATTATTATCAAAATCATTATAATTTTCAAAATTATTCTCATAAACTTGATAGGTTTGCAGGGATTCTTCTGAATTTAGATTAAACTTAACTGAATTTTGATAAAAATTATTGTCTGTAGCTGAAATTTGAATGTTATTTTGTAATGTTGAAGCGTTACTAGAACTTCGAGTATTTCATTTATCACGTTGTTGATGCCGAGTTTTATCACTTTTTGATGTCCATGAACCACCATCATTATTTGATGAGCACAAACAACAAGTACACCACACCAACATTTAGAAATTATATTGATAATTTTTTTTTTAAAAAAAAAAAATCAATAAAATAAATAAATAAATAAATAAATTTTTTGATTTAATTAGTCACAGGTTAAAATGTTCAGAATTATATGTTTATGCTTCTATTTTGTAGCAAGAATATTTGGGTCTCAGACCTTTTTTAAATAATTAATTTCTTTCATATTAAAAAAAATGTTTGTTGTTTGTCTTCTCTATCTATTTCCTTATTTTATTAGCTCCAACCAACACCTTTACTTTTTTAATTATCTCCAACCAACACCTTACTTCTTCAAACACGCAAGGTTAATACAAATAATTGTTTTACATTGGTTTGAGAGAAAAGATTAGATCTCTTATTAATCACTAATTCTTTTCTTTTATATAACCGTTCTTACAAATCTATTTTATACTTTATTATTATCATTATACAAAAATCGATCATAAATACTAAAATAGTAATAATATGCTGCATATGCAGTATTTAAAATAAACTTTACATGCATAGACTTCTGATTTAACTGATAAATATTTATAGTTAAATTAACTATATATGATCTAAATGTCACTTACATTATATGTAATCTAGTATTACCAAGTAATCCTTATCTAATAAGGGTAGCTGCGTAGCGCGTGACGCAGTACAGAACCAGTACGATCTCATTTGTGTATTGTAGTCTAGAGAGTTAATTGTATAATAATATTAGTTAAATTGCTGTTTATTAAACAACTGATTAAAGGATAATTCAAAGCTATACTTAGCTTAACCTTAAGCATCACCGTAATAAGTCTCGAAAGATCTTGAAACTCAGACCAAATCTTTCCATGCCTCTTTTCGGCTACCAATTCAAGATTCAAAGGTCTGTAGATTGGAGTTTAGTTTATTAGTCTTGAAGTTTAGTTAGTTTTAGCATCTGACCAATTAGTGCCCACTTTTTCACAGTACATTAGACCATGAAAGTTGATTTTTTGTTTTGTATTATCCGCTGACCTATTTTTTCAATTTTTCAAAATAATTTTTTTTTTTTTGAAGTTCCAATTGCGCCAATTATTCTATTTTTGTCTATAAAAAAAATGTACCAGATAAGCACGTATAGGCACTGGTCAGATCTGGATTTGTACAGGTACTAGGTTAGTACAGATTCTAGTACAGATTTAGTCGTAAATTCATATACGCATGTAACATCGCAATAACTAATACAAACATGTGGATTAATGATTAACGCATAAATTATATTCGTAATCAATATACTACAAACAAACTAACTGTATATGAAGTAAAATTTTGTAAGGAATTTCTTTTGTCAAAATACTTAGAGTGGTTTCATCAGTGAAATTATGAAATATTGCATTTTTTTTACAGCTACCATCATAATTTCTAAGACACCTGCTCATTACCCAAAATCTCTTTGGTTATTTAGTAAATTACCTAACCAGAAATTACATCACTGCCTTTGGACTGAAGTCTGAAGACAGCGATGTAGTTTAGGTAATCTACCAAATGACCAAAAAGATTTCAGATAATGAGCAGATATCCCAGAAATTATGATAATAGCTGTAAAAAAAATTATTTATTGATCATTTGCTCTTCTCAAAATAAGCCAACATATGTGCAATATAAGATAACTATGGGTATTGTGGCAGATAGGGTTTTGTGGCAGATCTACTATAACTCATAGCCCATCAGTCCAAACTAAACAATTTTTATACCATTCAAATCGTCTCATCGAGATGATTCGAATAGTACAAAAATCGTTTGATTTAAATCACTAAGTCATGAGATATTGGTGTTCGAATGTTATAAATCAAATTTTTTGGAGTTATATTCAGACACTATTTTAACACCAATATCTTATGACCCAGTGATCAAAATCATTTAGATTGGACCGATAGGTACTGAGTATTGCAAA